CCATAATAATTTTTAAATTTTGAAAGCAGTACTTTGTTTTTAGAAGGACAATTTTATCCCTTCAAAAATTTAACACCAATTGTATGTTCAAACTCATTAAGATAATATCACATAGGTATATTAAATGATAAAAAAGATAACAATTATTTTATTGCAAGAAATACTAAACATTTACTAAAATATCCCCCATTAAATTAAGGTAGTGTGCTAATGGTTATGTCCACTTTAGTAAAGTACCATATACATAATGACTGCACTATTTTGTAACGAATTTTTTTGGAAATGACAAATTTAACCCTTAAAAATCCAAGTGTCAGTTATAGAAAATGTCTATTTTGGTAATATCAACAACTCTTTGCATTCTTATATAGATAGTAGAAAACACATTTAAATTACACTGATATTTCATGAGTTTTAGTGAAATTACACAAATTATCCTTTCATTTTCTACACTTACAAAAAACCCTTAATTTATAAACATACATTACATTGATCAACCATGTATGAGAGATGTAATTTTTTAAACAAAAAGTGATAAATGTAAATAAGTTAAACAAAATATGATATATGGTATAAATTAAACAGTCATATGTAAATGTCTTGTATTGTATATGATAAAAATTACATTGATAAGTAATTTACTCATAAATGTCTTATATATGAATAATAAATTAGTTGCACACGGTAAGTGTAAAATGTTCGGTTGGAAAACAATATTAAATTGACAACATTATTGGAATACATGTAACCTTAAAATGGTAAAGCAATACTAATGTTGGCCCACTGGGCTAGCCCGACCCGCCTTGGCCCGTCTAAAAAACGGGCTTCCAAACCGGGTTGAATATGGGCTTTTGGGCTAAAATCTCCAACTCGGCCCGCCAAAAATGTCGATCAAAACGGTTTGGCCCGTCGGGCCAAGCCCATGTTGCCATTCCTACTTTGAAGTTTAGGACATAAGATATAGATCTTGTTTCCTTTGTGTTTCTTGTTACTAACAAGTAAGGGTGAAAATAGGTCAGACCGCCTATCAGGGGTCTAGTACCTAATCTATAACAGGTCAGGCTGGGTCAAGCCTTTTTGATAAACAGATTAGACTTAGGCTTCTCCAATAGCTTATTTGACCTCAAAGGTCAGACTCAGGCCTTTTAAAAAACTTATTAAACCTAACAGGCTGACATATGTAATATTATTATCTATTTATAAATTATTTTTTATATTATGTACAAAAAAAACTAAATAATAATTTTTTTATGTAAATCCACTAGGACTTAGAGATTAGACTATTTAAAAATTGGACATTTAGTTGTTGAGACTTGGACTTAAGTACATAACTCAGCCCATGTAAGTATGCAATTTTTCCTAGCTTGTACATAATGTGTTGAATTTTTTTACCTTAACATGTCTTTAAACATGCTAATAGGTGAGACCAGACTTTTAAACAGACCATGCATATGCTTTGAATTTCTTTTTAAACATGTTAATAGGCCATGTCCAAGCTCCTATTTACAATATAGGTTCGGTCTGTTTATGGCGAAGTCTGACTTGATCTGCTCTGTTTCCACCCCTACTGACAAAGAGCATGCATAGCTCATAAATATACATCACTTTCCTATACTTATGCAACCATTTGAACAATAAATCAAGGATAACTCAAAATATAATAATGTTGTGTTATTTTAGTCGAATAATATTGTTGAGGATACTACATCTAAATCTAAGATAATAATTCATCCACCAATCAAGTTTAAAGATTATGGTTATATTATGTTTTGAAGAAATAAAATCTTATTTAACTTATTTTAAATAAATTGGATTTAGGTTTAGAGATCGATAGTCTTCTATTCAAGACTATTTAAAATATGTTAATCTCAATTAAGGAATGAGGATAAAATTGTCTTCTATTTTAATATTTTATATTTTATAGTCTTTTTAAAATCTTTATTTTCTTTTTGATGCTAGGGTTTAACGAGGACAATCTTTTCCATTATCATTAAGCTTCCCATATACTCACTTGAGTTTGACTCCATATCAATTAACACAAATTTAATTCTACACTTTATCACAAAAGACTAATAAGCCATCCATTTAGATACATATATTGATATGACTCCAAAGTTAACAGAATTAAATATATTAAGTTATAATAATGTTATGTAAAATTAGGCTCTTATAAAGAGTGAATAGCTTATAATCAATAGTGGCATGTTTAACATATTTTTTTTAATATGTATACACTAACCGTTTTTTATATTGTCGATACATTATTTGTCATTTATATATTAATAATAATTTATTCTAAAAAAATTAATACAAATCAATAATGGATAATATATTATAAATATAAAAAAATTTATACTACGGATACATGAATATTAAACTCTTTTCAGATTATCTAAATCTTTAATCTTTACCACTATCCTAATCTTATAAGTTTGTAGACAATATTCAAGACAATCCCGCCAAATTATCTAAGTGCCATGTGGTTCTTTGTTTTGTTTCTATACATGTATTTAAAAAATACATATAAAGCAAAACGTATCACATGATGTCATGTCAATATCTTTACACATGAACATAGATCATTTTCAAAATCAACTTCACTCAACACTTTGCTTAAGTGCTTGAAAGGGTAGAGTGTGAAGGGAAGTGAGGCATAACAATACTAGCCCAGTCCGGATATTCTCCATTAACGAAGAGTCAAATACTTGTTTTTCCTTATATTTTTAATGACAAAAATGACATTTGAATATATATATATAAAGGATAAAAATGTGTTAACATGTTATATTTTTTGTTTTTTGTAATATTTGTCTCTCCAATAATAGAGATGATCCTTACTACGTTAAATTTGATGAACTTATTTTGTTAAGTACATATTATCTTTTAACTTTGTAAGGTGCAGCTAGATTATTAGTGAAATGATTATATTCTTTAAGTTTTTTATGTTTTGGATTCTAATAGAATGAAGATAAAAGTTTGAAAACTATGAAATACAATTTTAAAGCGGCTCTGTAATGTTATCCCCTTTCATTTATTTCCCATTCAAAGCTCAACTTTAACATAACCTTGGGGCATAATCTTCACACATATTAGAAAATTGTTTTATGCACACTCTAAATACAACACATGCAAATGAGCCATTGTGCCTTAAGTGAATGTAGCTATATATAATATCTCTCTTGTTCATAGTAACATAATTTGAATGTAGAAAGTGAAAGGCTCATAACATTCATTGATATCGAAATAATTCTAGTTGCCAATCGCCTTCCTAATTTCGGTGTATTAACTAAAGATAAGTCTATTTCGGTTATTAGCAAAGATGTGGTAGACTTCTTTTACTAAAAAAGAGCGACCCAATGCAAAAGACTTCCACGTAGTGAGTAGGATCTGGAAAAGGTAAATGTACATGGTGTTACCCTTGCAAGTTTACTAATATGGGTAACACTTGTTTTTCTATCCACAATTATATCTAAGCTTCTTTAGACTCAACATTTTGTACTTTAAACCCTTTTTCATTCTACAGCCCCGTCATAGCATTGATGAATAAAAGTGCTTCTGCTTTGAAGTTTGAACAAAGTTTCAAATAAAACAGGACAATTAAGGATATTGCTGCAACATTGTATATGCTTATGATGCACTATCTCCTGATGTCAAATATGAATGTGTAAGAGTCTAAAGAGGTCTTTAAGAATTACATGATCTCTATGCCATTCTAAGCAACATATTTTGATTAATCTAACCAACAACTTTCTTCACTGTGATTTCATTGCAGAGAATCATGCAAATACAATGCTTTCAAGTACTTTGAACCTATATGGTATTGTGTGTGTGTATATATATGATGGACAACAAAGACCACTTGGGAAGTTAGTGTAATTTTGTTCATCGCCGGAGATAAGTACAACGATAATATAAATCTCGGGTGCAATTTCTAAAACACGAGAGGTGCCGGATATAGATCTTCAACGGAGTCCGGTGGAATGAGTCTTTGAAGCCATAAGATATGTATCAAACACAATTATCATGTTGTACTAGAACATTTTGTTATTCATTCATAGGATGTAAGTGAAATACTACTTTAGAAGTATAGCTATGGGCATAATGCAATTGAGAACATATCAACAGAGAACTCTATGAATCTTTACATAGATCAATTATTACATATTTAACTTAGTTACTTAGAGGGGCAAAATAGTTAACAAAAAAGGCGTTGATTTCAGCATCAATGGCACTTCTCCTGGTGCACAACAAGGTTTGCACAAATGTGAAAGACAACAAACAAGTGTCGAAATTGCACAAGTATCTTAAACAAGCATACCATAATGAAAAGGAAAAAACATCCATTCTGACATTAATACCTACAACCAAATGCAACCATGGTTGATAAGAGTAGAGTCTTTTATATTTGTGCATTGGCACCAGCAACAATTTCTAGTATTTCGCCGGTGATCTTAGCCTGACGTTGCCGATTGTAGAGAATCGATAAGTTCTTCTTCAACTCACTAGCATTTTCAGTTGCATTGCTCATAGCAGTCATTCTAGCAGCTAACTCACTTGCAAGTGATTCCTGAAGTGCCCTCAAAACCTGGCTGTTCAAATATAGAGGCAAAAGTGCATCAAGTATCTGAACTGGATCCTGTTCAAACTGCAAAATTGGTGAAAAATCTGATGTCTTAGTCCTCACAATATCTCTTTCTACAGTTAACTTTCCTTCTTTGGTTGTTAACCTGAAAAACTCATCATCCGCAGCATCAATACAAACACCATTAATATCACATATTTCTCCCTTTGGTGAGAGTGGAAGCAGTGTATGAATCACAGGTTGTGATTTCACTAGTGACACAAACTTTGTGTACAAAAGCTCAACTTTATCTACCTCTTCACTCACAAAGAGTGAAAAGGTGTCATCAGCAATTGCTTGAGCTTCTTTCGCGGTCGGAAGCGTGCCTCCTTCGAGAAACTTATCGACCGGAATATAAGGCCTACGAAGGAAATAAGAGTTACCCTTTTTACCAACACTAATAACAGTGTAATCAATACCAAGATTCTTCAACTCAGCAATTCTAGCCTCAGCCTTTTTCAATATTGCATTGTTAAAACCACCACAAAGTCCTCTATCACCAGTGCAAACAACAAGTGCAACTTTCTTCACAGACCTAGCTTTTGTTAAAGGGACATCAATGTCTTCAGTTTGGAGCTGCTCATTGATATTGTAAAGGACTTCAACAAGGGTCTCTGAGAAGGGTCTTCCATTAACAACAGCTTCTTGAGCTCTTCTAACTTTAGCAGCAGAAACAAGCTTCATTGCTTCAGTGATCTTTTGTGTGTTCTTGACAGAATCAATACGGGTTCTAAGCTCTCTGAGGCCACACTGAAGAGGGGTGACAGAAGAACGTGAAGGGGTGGGAGAGGATAAAGAAGAGTTTTGTGAAGGAAGCTGAAAATGGTTCAAAGCAGAACGAAATGAGAGGTTAGATGCATCAGATAGTGAAGGTTTGGAAGACACCAACATGGTGATGTTGGAGCAAGACATTGTTTTTTGTTGTTATTGTTGTTGTTGCAATAAGAGTCTTTGTTTTGGTTTGTGATGATGAAGATGTTTTTGGGGTTTGTGAGGTCTTATCTACTTCTCATGTCAAAGGTATTTGTGTGTGGTTGTGATTGAATGAGTGGAGGGAAATAGAGGAGTGGATGAGGTTTTGGGATAACGATTTTAACTGTTGGAGATAGCAGATTTTGCTTCTGGTGAGTCCAATATGATGTTAATGTACTAGATCATGTTTGAGTGGGTCCAAATACCTCTGTTTTTTTCTTTCAAAATCCTTCTATTCAATCAAGTAAATATTTTGCAGACTAAATGTGATTACTTTTCAATTAACTATTTCCTTTATTTAGTAGGAGAAAAGTTCTTAGGAAATATACAAAAAATTCTGAGCAATCATAACAATATCCCATAATTAACTCAACTGAACTACCTCTTAGTAACAAGTTGAATCAAAATTAAATCCTTTTGTATAATTTTAAAATCATTATCCAATTATTGATCAAACTATAATACTTGTTTTTCTTTTCTATTACTCATATTAACAATAAATTTAGGGAAGGTAAAAGGTTAAATCAATACTTGCCATAGAATAAACATTACTTTAACAAAAGTTGTGCATGCATGTCTAACAAGTATAATGGATGACTTGCCCACAAGTTTTGGGCATTAGTTTTGGGAGATCCAATTCCACCACAAAAAGTTCTTAAGCAGATTCAATGAATTAGTAAACCATATACTCTACCATGATTTAGGAGACAATGGAAATCCACAGCCTGAGAAAATTTTGTACATGATACTCAGAAAATGTGCAAGTCTAAGATCATTTTAACTAAATACTCATGACCTCATTAATATTTACAGAGACAAAAATATTTACTACAACCCTTGCCAATAATTATAGACAATAGTACCTATAAACTATCAAGTAGTCACGTGAAAAGATAAAGTAAGGAGGAAACACAAAAACAAAGCAAAACCACTGCATTTTCCTTATCCTGCAGCACTTAAAGCTCTGATTAACTACCATCATAACAAGGGAAACATAGTTAGTTCAGAACTTCAGATGATGCATCAATTAACCATCTTTATGATTACCAGCTGGAATTTTAGGAAGTCAATCCTATAATTTGCACTCAATCTGCTTGAACACATCAATCAACCATCTTTATGATTATCATCCTGGCTTGATCTTTCAACATTCAATCCTATTTTAAGACTTGCATTCCACTTTCCAGAACGCTTCCTGGGTTTTCGTGGTTTGGAAAACACGCCGGGACCTAGGTTTAGATCTTGTACCATAGGATCATCTGCTGTATTAGATGAGTCTAAACATAACCAAGAAGAGATGCTTTTATCGTCCTTTCCCTCACCAATCAAAGCAATATTTAGTGTACTTGTATCATTCGTGTGTAGACTACAATCACCTTGAGCATCAGAATTGTACCCTGGTTCACATGGTTTTTCCATAGAAGTTGTATATTTTGTAACATTTTCTTCTGAAGTTGGGACCTCCTATCAAAACATTTTTAAAAAAAGGAGTTATGAGGGAAGAAAAAATATATTTAAAAGAAATAGTTGAGAATCTACCCAAAAGATAATGAGAATACGAACTAGTATCAATCATGAATAATGGGGTGTTGGTGGATCTTAGTATGATACAGGACTATAAAGCAAAGACAGATCACCAACCATTGACTAGTGTAGAGCTCCTAGTCGAAGATAATAACAAGATTGGGTCACAATGGATCAGATGGTCATGAACAAGGATGAAACAAAAACAAATAGGTAATAGATTATGAAAAACTTATCAAGGCATGAAGCAAAAGTCAGAACGAAATAGCTCTTTCATGAAGGAGGGAGAAAAGGTAGCACTAATAACGGACCAATGTTTAGACATGGTTTGGCAGTAAAGTTGAGCCTGATAAGGATCCTGAATTTGCCTGATTTTAAAAAAAAGGTTTATCATATTGCCACTGACTGACAGATAGAATGATTACAATCCTATGAAGACGCAATACGAGACAAACAAATAACAGAGTCAAATTAGGAAAGACACAAAAGAGCAGCTTGGAAGTAGAAGTTCAGAAGTATGATATGCAAGGTTCTAACAAGTTTTTTTATTAACTTAAAGAATGAAAAGTTTAACTCAACACAAAACAATGGAGTTTCACAGTAAGGAGTAACATATTTTAAAATATGCACTGAAAACCCATACTTAAAAATAACAATTGATAATAAAAAAATTGTAAATATCAGTTTCTAATTTCATATTGTAGACTGAAGTAGGGGAAAAAATATAAGACAAATGATAAACCAAATTACCTTATTTTGAACCTCAGGAGTTTGTTCACAGTCAGAACCATCCTCTCCTTCAGAATCAGCCATCTCTTCGCACTCAAACTCTACATGTTCTTCAATATCTTCCTCAGAGTCACTTAATTCTTCCTGCTCCATCACTATCTCAGGATGAGATTGATCACCAATATCATCTAAATCATATCTGGCGAAGTTATCATTAGGAACAATTGAAGGGAGAACACTTTGAGCAAGACCACAAGTGCTAGCTGGCACATTAAGGTCAAGCTTATTGGATTTGTCAATAAGGTTAATCTCCGAGTCAAGTTCATAAGATTTGTCATTAAGGTCAAAAGACCTATTGGCAATAGCTGGCACATCATTACCCAGTGACTCAGTCTGAATAGCACCAAAACTGGTTCGTGATTTTGTGTCATTAGATTTCTGCAGAAGGGGATGAAAATCAATACCATCTGACCTTAGAGTGGAATCTTTTGACTTCAAGCACTTATTAGAACAAGCAATATGACTTTGTTGCTGGGAATTTTGGAAGAGACTCAGATTTAATCGAGAATGGGTTCCTGAGAACAAGCTGATGGAACTTGAAGTGCCAGAACTAAACTTCAATGGATAATAAGGCACACTGCCATCTTCAGTGACCTGGAACAATAGAGGATGCAACTGGAGACCACTGCAAGTACCATTTTCTGCCACAGCAGGTCGGCCTTCAACAGTTCCGGATACTTCTAGTTGCGAACCTGTGACAGTGTCTTTCAGCACACGTCTTGTACCTTCCAATGGATTAATGGTTCGAAGTTTCTTCTCACAGTGAGGAGTTTGAGATACAGAATTATCTTTTCTACAAGCAGTGACACCACTTCCGGCAGGATAAACCTTAGATGTTCCACCCTGGAATCCTTTAAAAGCAGTCTCAGAAACTACACGAACAGATGGAGGAAGATTTACAGGAGGCAAACCTGGAGCTAATTTCACCAAATGAGCATTATTTACCCTCCTCCGAGCTCGATAGGGACGACAATAATATTTGGAGGTAGAGGTCACTTCAGAAACCGGATGTCTGGGTTTAACGGCACTAGGAGCACCTTCAATGCAACTCCTTAAATCAGGTGTAGTATGAAAAGGTTGAGCAAGCTTAGGTACAGATGGAAATGAAGGCTGGTTACCATTCTGATGTTGAGCTTTTCCACATAAACCATAATCATGAGCAAGATATCCTTCTCCAGATGTAGAGGAAATGCGTTCAGAATAAGTAGGAGTAGATGTCTCTGGCCTCCAATCTGCCAGAAATGCCTGGTGGACATATGGAACAACAGTATAATCCATGCAATTCTCTGAACCGGCAACATTAGCCTCGCAATCCTGCAACAAATATAAATTCCAAAAGAATATTATGAAACTGAACCCAAAATATGTGAATTTCAGTCCTCAAATAACCCCAAAAAATCCATATAAGCAAGAAGCTCAAACTAAGCTGTAGGCCCATAGTCCACTGAGTTGATTGATAACCTAGTCACGTAATCCTCAATGGAAGGTTCTTATGAAAATGTCAAGTACAAAACTAAGAAATGTTGGAAACATAAACTAAGAAATGTGGGAGACATATACATTAGTAGATTTACATGCATACCAACATCAGTTTCTAATGATTTATAGTTTCTTATCGACTTTGGTGCATTTACATTAGCCAAAATTGCATAAAGGTAAATTAAGAACTGTATATTGTGCAGCTGTATGTAAATCGTCATAATCCATTCAGGCAGTTACCTAAATGCAACATTCATGATGATTACGATGGCTTCTCAGACACAAGAAAGACCTGAGATATAAAATGTCAACACAGGCTTCTAAGATTCAGACAGTAACAAACCTCTTTATCAGATATAGCTTGAAAACTTTCTGAAGCAGAAGCTTTCAATTTTCTTCTGTTTGACTCATACAATCTTCGCTTCTCCCTTTTTGATGCATCTAGCTTGTATGACTTCTGAGTCCCACAAGCAGAACGCCACTGGCGTGGAAGCAAAGATGGATCTCTATGTGGAACAATACATCGCCATACCAACATCCAATCAAATTTATAAATCTTAAGCCCCTGTGTATTTTCGGTCATGCATCAGCAAGTCATAATGTCATCAGTCAGAAAATTTTAAGATCGAAGGATGCCATTGAATAAATTACCTCTTGAATAAATGCTATCTCCTCTTCAGTCAATGGGGAGGTTTTCATTCTTCTAACTGCCTGTGCAATAAAATCAAGCATTAGTGTCCAGACTTATTTAATTAAATTATGGGGTACAGCATGACTCCACATATGTTAGGAATATAACACTACAATGTATATAGTGCATATACATTCGGGCTAAAGTGCAATGCCTTTTATAACTCATGCTTGTTATCTGTTTTCGTTTAAGGGATATACTTGATTCCCTTTAGAAGCATTCAGGGTAGTTTTGTCAGACAATGAAAATATATTTGAACTCCATTTGAAATATTTTATTTCTTGAACAAAATCCCTGGCAGGATATACTATTATGTTTGTGTTTAGACTTTAGACTTAAAAATTGGGTACATGGTCACTTATTTGGCTTAAAATGCTGATAGTTGTCACTTTCAATGGTATTATTATGAAGATGCAATCTTTCAAGTCATGCTAAGATACAACATTTGAGTGGTTACAGAAGAGAGTAGAAAGAGAAAATAGAAAGTTTTCAAATTGATGTGCTTAGCCATATACCTCCTCTTGTTTTAGGGTAAGTTGGTTTGGGGTTAACTTGGTCTTGGTGACATCAGATTCAACTCTACCTCACGCATATTTTATCTATACAACAATAGAATGAAGATTCTGCTCCTTGAGTGTCTAAATTTTGTTTGTCCTAAAAA